CCCCCCCGCCCCCACACACACACACACACACACACACACACACACATACAGGTCTTAATCTGAAGTCCTTTCAGTGAACTAAGTAGGCATGAAAACAGCCCATTGCTGGGGGAGGCATAATAGTTTGAATTGTTGTCCATGGTTAAGCTGTGTGTTTTCCTTTCTTCCTAACCACTTTTTCCTTTACCTAGTACATTGTATGTACCAGAAAATAGAAGTTATGAGAGAAAAAGAGAAAGCCCAGTGCCTTGACAGTATATGATCTTATGACTTGATTTCTTTTTGCCCTTTTGGTTGTTTTCCCTCTCTGGCTTAGTTTTACTTTCTTGGGCTCAAGTATTGATTATAATATTGCTTCCCTTATCTTCATTGTTTTCCTCTCAGATTTTCTGTCATTTACCATGGGCATACTCTCAATCACAAAGTGCAAAAACTGAGTGAATACACACAGTACAAGTTTAAAATACAGGCATGTAATGAAGCTGGTGAGGGACCACAGTCTGATGTCTACACTTTCACGACCACAAAAACCCCGCCTGCTGCGCTTAAAGGTAAATGGTGCACACAGACACTGGACATTTTACTAGAGCTTCCTCAGCACATATTGAAAATTGAGCAGTAATTAGAAAATGCTATATTAGAGGAGGCAACAAGGCTCAGAAAGAAAAATGCCACATGTCCTCCCTCTCTCGTGTGAAAGTTCTTGCTTCTAAATTTTTATACAAATGTATTTAAGTAAGAGTAATTACTGATAAAGTTGAGGAAAGTAGAAATCATGAGGCTGGGGAGAGACTCTAAGGAAGGGGATAGAGAGGGCGTAAAACACACATGATATTAAAGTGGAAGGTAGAATACTGAAGGTTGAGGAGTGAGTACAAGTAGGAAGAGAGAGCCAGAAAGTGAGATGAACAGCAAATGGAGGAATTAACCAAAACTAAAAATATATGACATAAGGAAACCTGTTACTTTGTTTGCTGATTTTAAAAATTAAATTAAATCTTGGGGCTAGAGAAAAGCCTCAGTGGTTAGGAGCACTGGATTCTCTTCCAGATGACCAGAGTTTGATTCCCAGAGGCAGCACACAGCCATCCCTAACTACAGTCCAGGGGATCCAATACCCTCTTCTGGCCTCCACAGGTACCAGGCACTCACGAAATGCAGGCATGCATATATGCAGGCAAAGCATTCACATAGATAAAATTAATTAATTAATTAAAATTTAAATTAAACTAAATCGTATAAAATAGCAGTTGTAATTTTTTAATTCACTAATAGAATGCTAAAAAGTAGTGCTTTATTGTGTATTTAAGGAGCAATGAAAATATTTATTAAGACTTCAGGCCTGGTGGTGGTGGCACACACCTTTAATCCCAACACTTGGGAAGCAGAGACAAGTAGATCTCTGAATTCAAAGCCAGCCTGGTCTACAGAGTGAGTTCCAGAACATCCAGTACTACGTATAGAAATCCTGTCCCAAGAAACATTTTAAAAAAGGATTAATAAGACTGCCACAATCAATATTTTTTCAAATATCTTAGAGGTCATCTAATTTCGTCACTATCACCTTTAAGAATAAGACATGCGTCAGGCATTGGTGGCGCACACCTTTAATGCCAGCACTTGGGAGGCAGAGGCAGGCCGATCTCTGTGAGTTCGAGGCCAGCCTGGTCTCCAGAGTGAGTGCCAGAATAGGCTCCAAAGCTACACAGAGAAACCCTGTCTCAAAAAATAAAAAACAAAAAAAGAGTAAGACATGGAGTTGAAGAGATGTCTCCAAGTTAAGAGTACTTGTTGCTCCTTCGTAGGACCCAGGTTATATTCCCAGCACCTACTTGATGGTTCACAACCATGTGTAACTCCAATTCTAGGGAATCTGATGCCCTCTTAGACCTCTGTAAGCACAAACACACACACAGGTGCCCATACCTATATATAGGCAAAACACAGGCCCCTGATTTCCATAATGGTATGCCTCCCACATTGTCATATTCATTCATTGCTACACATTGTATTTTCTCAAGTGCTGTTATGAAAAAATTATCAATTGACAGGTGCAGCTATACTGATTTAAGCTAAACTAATATGTAAACTTTAATAAGTTTATTTCTAAAACTATGAATGTACTCTCCTTATCAATGTTGTGGGGTATCCATCAGAGAAGACTGCTCAAACAGGGTTTAAGCCAATAGAAAGTCTTTATTAGTGGGCCCAAAACTACACGAGATGTTTGGGATCTCATGGGAGCACTGAGCCTTTCTCAGGGTGAGCTTTTGAGCACAAAAGCCATGTTCTGGGTTGACATACTTCATTTAAAAATAACAGTATCCAGAAGCAGAACTACCAGAAGCCAAAAAGCAAGGTTAGTACCTTTAGAGACTTTCCCAGAACTATATGGGCTTTGGTGGGTTAGGTCTTTGTTTTAGTGCTGTCAGGTGATGCTGTCTATGTACTGAGTTTTACAGCCTGAATGCACTTCCATCGTGGAGTCAGTTGTACTAAGGTCTCAGGACCTGTTACAATGACAACAATAAAATGTTATGTATTACACTAACAGAGTCCAAGTTCACATGTCTCAGAACCTCAGATTTGAGGATTATTTTTCCTCTCCCAGTTGTGAAGTTTGGTTGATCTAATCTTTCCACATGAGGTCAATCACTATTTTTGTTTATTTTATGTGCATTGGTGTTTTGCCTGCATGTATGCCTGTGTGAGCATGTCAGACCCCTGGAATGGGAATAACAGATAGTTGTGAGCTGCCATGTAGGTGCGAAGAATTGAACCTGGGTCCTCTGGAAGAGCAGTCAATGCTCTTAACCGCTGAGCCATCTCTCTAGGCCCCAAGTTCAATCACTAACATGAAATCATTCTCCAGTGTAATGCTAACTGAACAACATTCAAATTAAATGAATTGTGTTTGATGACAGTAATGCTTTCCTTTCCTGACTACAGTCCCTATATATTTAAGCCCCATTTTATTAAAATGTGGAGACTAATGATATAAAATAGAGTCCGATACTTCCTACCTGACACAGTTGCTGAACTCCTAAAATAAAATTGCTTATCCATATGAAAATGTTTCTAGCCAGGTGGTGGTGGCACACACCTTTAATCCCAAGCACTCAGGAGGCAGAGGCAGGTGGATCTCAGTGAGTTTGAGGCCAGCCTGGACTACAGAGTGAGTTCCAGGACAACTAGGATGTTACACAGAGCAACTCTCATTCAGAAAAAAAAGAAAATGTTTCTTAATGTAAAACACACCATATAAACACAATGCAGATAATTCTAGAAGAAAAAAAACAAAATTAAAATGTATACAATATGAATAGAAAATCTAAACATGCATTATTAATTTATAACTTCATTAAGGTTTTGCTACAGTAATGATGCCTAATGGTATAACAAAAGTAATTTCAGTAATAAGTATAGTTCTGTTGGGTATGGTAGTGTAAACCTTTAATGCCAGCACAAGGTGGGCAGAGGCAGGTGAATATCTGTGACTTCAAGGCCAATCCGATCGTCATAGCAAGTTCCAGACCACTCACAACTTCATAGGGAGACCATCTCAAAAGACACATAGTTTTTTAAGTATGGTTACATATTTCTCACATTAGATCTACATGTGCTTAATAATGATTGTTGGTTATTAGTCATTTTAATGTATTCAGCATCATTTAGAAAAAAAATATAGGACATTCTAAAATGTAATTTTCCTTTTCCAGCACCTAAATTACATCCACTAAATAACAACAGTTGTGAGATCAAATGGGATTCCTTGAATCCAGTTAAAGGTGATCCCATCATTTACTGTCTTCAAGTCATCACTGGAAAGAAAGCGGAACAGGTATATTCTTGCAAATTTAGTCTTTAACATTCTGCCAGGCCTCGTAGCACATGTCTGTAGCCTTAGCACTTGAGGGGCAAATGCAGGAAGATCAAGGTACTCTTTGGCTACATAGCAGCTTTGAGGGTAACCTGGCCTCTAGGAGGCCTTGTTTTAAAAAAAAAAAGTATGCCAGTGCAGGGGGGTGCACGTCTTTAATCCCAGCAATTGGGAGGCAGAGACAGGCAGATCTCTGAGTTCTAGGCCACCCTGGTCTACAGAGTGAGTTCCAGGACAACCGGGGCTACGAAGAGAAACCCTGTTTCAAAAAATATTGTAGTCCTGTGTCCAGCTGAGATTAGTGCTTTGGGTGGGGAGTGTGTTATTTTTAAAGGCGTTGGAAGTAACTAAATCTTAGCCCAAACTTCCATCTCATCTGTAGCATTTATGTACATAATCTTTATTTGGAGAAATTAGCTCACTCATTTAATTGGCTCATTACCATTGAATTGTTTAGTATTTGTTGATTCCACTGGCCACAGTCCATACATAAAGTACTTAAACTTGAATGCCATAGGGTTTTGCTATGCTTTATTGAACAAAATTATCTAATCAATACTGAATCCCCCTCAGAACATTAGAAACATTGAGTAAAATTTTAGTTTTGTTGTGAACATGCTCATGAAACCAAGGAATTTTTCTCTTGTTGTAAAAAAAAAAAAACTATACAATATAGTTTTAATTGGAAAGAAACTATAATTTTCATTTGATCCCTTTTCCTTTAGATTTACAAAGGACCGAACACTACCTTTTGCTTTTCCAACTATCTTGCAAATTCAAGATATCGCTTCAAAGTCTGTGCCGGACGTCAATATGAAAATTCTGATGGTGTGCAAGAGCTCTGGGGGCCATATAGCCCCAGCACACTCTTCTCAACTTACAAGCATCAGTCAGGGCATGGCAAAGGCGGTGGAGGTAAAGGAAAAGGCAACCACAATGACAAAGATGAAAAGTACAAGACAGAAATGAGAGATGATACCTTCGTTCTAATCCTTATGATAGGATTTGCTCTTATTGCCATTTTGTGTGCTGTTGCAATTCAGTACTTCCTGATCAACTAGTCTATTCTTTTAGGAAGGAGGAAAGTGCATTACATCAAACTTAGAAAGCCTTAGATACATCTTAACTAATACTTCAAAATAAAGCTTACCGATAGAAGCTATTATCATCAAAGGAACTGCCTTAATATCTAAGAGCTTTTAATGTGACAGTAGAGAAGGTTTTTAAGGAAATAGGTGTACTTTGAATTCCATCATTTTTCAACAAAACATTATATTATGATGCAAAGCTAAGGCCTTTTGTTGAAACTATTTCCTGCCTTATCTTTTCAAGTCAGTCTTTTCCAAAATTTCTGGACTATGAGATAATAGCAGTCAGTGTTTTGGAATTGTACTTGGAACGAAATGAGAAAAAAAATCACTTCTATATGTCCAGATACCATCCATATGAAGAAATAAAACGTATCTACCAAAGGTTTGTGCTCTAATTTGTTCAAAACAATGTAACCAGTGATTGTTTTTTACCCTGATAAATACTTTGTGTGTTAGTCAGGGTTCTCTAAAGGAACAGAACTGACAGTGTGAATATACATACTAAAGGGGGATTTATTGGACAGCCTGACACATTGTGGTCCAGATAGTCCAACAATGGCTTTCTCACAACAGAAAGGCCAAGAATCAACAGCTGTTTCATCCACAAGGCTGGATGTCTCAGCAGTCCCAGTCTGGTGCTGGAGTCCTGGAGGATTCCTGGAGAGCTGCTGGGTTTCAAACTACACTGGAATCCTGAAGAAGTTGGATTTAATACCTGCCATAGCAACAGGATAGATGAACTTGCCAGAGAGAGTGGGGGAAAGCAGGCAAAAAGCAACACTTCCTTCTTCAGTGTCCTTTGATGTAGGCTACCACCAGGAGGTGTGGCCCAGATTTATGGTGGGTCTTTCAGCCTCAAATAAGAAAAAGCCCTCATAGGAGTGCCCCGGAGCATGGATTTTAGCTGAGACTAGGTGCAGCCATGTTGACAACCAAGATTAGCCATCATGCTTTGATAGTGGGGAAATAGTAATTTATAGCTCTTTGCTGTAATAGGAAATAAGGGCATGGAGAACCATTCTATAGCACTGTAAGCTCCTTAAAATACACCCCTCTCATTGGTACTGCCAAACATTGTGTCCATACACAATCATCTATATGCACGTGTACACAGCATGTTATGATTGTTTTCTCTCCCATAGATGGAGTCACATCCATTTCTAATTCCACATGAAGCATCTCACCTCAGTTCTCACAGTTCTCAAAATCTATCAAGAAACTTAACTATCCTCACTGTCTTGGTTAGGGTTTCTATTGCAGTGAAGAGACACCGTGACCATGGCAACTCTTGTAAAGGGAAACATTTCATCGTGGGGGTGGCTCACAGTTCAAAAGTTCAGTCCATTATCACCCTGGTGGGCCATGGCAGCATTCAGGCAGACATGGTGCTGGAACAGGAGCTGACAGTCCTTACATCTTGATCCAAAGGCAACAGGAGGTGAACGGAGACCTGGGAATGGCTTGAGCATATATGAGTTCTCAAAGCCTGCCTCCACAGCGACACTTCCTCCACAAGGCTACACCTACTCCAACAAAGCCACACCTCCTAATAGTGCCATTTTCCTTTGGGGACCATTTTCTTTCAAACCACCACACTCACTGAACATGTTTAAATGTTTTTATTAATGTTTTAAAACTGAATATTTAAATTCAGTGTAACTTTTTTCATATTCTATGACATATCCTTTTACTGGGCACTGATAAGTGATATAAATGATATTATAAAAGTACCAGTACATTTTGTTGGACATTGGCTCAGTCTTGCTTCTCTGTAAGCACTGTGACTGCCATCATGTGACAGGTAGCATTTTGTTTTCACTAAGCAAGTAACTGTTGGCAATTTCAACAACCCGGTTCCACATACATTCTACTTGATTTCCCAAACCCTTGCAATAGATTAGATATTACAGAAGAAATGACTACTAAACAGTATTCCAGCACTATCTACAGTAAGTGCCCATTGATTAAGAAATTGTTGCTGATAGAGGCAAAGATCCACAGACAAGCACTGAGCTTGTTGCTCAGCTAAAGACATCTCCCACCCGGGAAATAGAATTAGGTCCAGACTTTAGAAGAAAGGCGGGAAGGGATTGTACCAGCCAGGGGGGTCAAGGTGGGGGAACCCTCAGAGGCAGCTGACCCAACTAACCTGACTCACGGGTGCTCATGGATGCTGGACACACAGTCAGGGAACCTACATGAGACAGACCTAGGCCCCGCATGTATGTGACCATTGTGCAGCTTGGTCTCTTAGTAAGACTTCTAACAATGAAAGCAGGACCTCTGCCTGGTGCTTAGTTGGCTTTTGGGAACCTGTTCCCCATGCTGGATTACCTCGCATCACCTGGAAGTAAGGGGAGGAGCATGGTCCTGCCTCACTTGATGTCCCATGCTTTGTGGAAGCCCATGGGAGGCCTGCACCTTTCTAAATGGAGATGGAAGTGTGGATAGGGAGGGAGGTAGCTGGGAAATGGGAGGGGACAGGAATAGAGCAGGGAGGGGAAACCGCTTGTTATGTAAAATAAATGAAAAAATATTACTTAAAAATATTTTAAAAATTGTTGCTGATAATAGGTACATAATTGACTATTACTCAGCCATGAACAAACACAAAATTCTGTCATTTGTAGTAGCATTGTCAGAACTGAACGACAGTCTATTAAGTGAAATAAGCCAGACACAGAAAGAGAAATCTGTCGCCCATATAGAAAAATCTGAAGAAGTCAGATTGTAGAGTACTAGAGGTTGGGAAAGGGAGAAGAAGGAAAGATAGAGGTTGTTTAAGTGGCATTGGAAGCCAGACAGAAGTAGTAGCTCATAGTGTTCCACAGCATAGTGGATAATCATAACATTATGAAGAATTACAAGAGAGATGTTCAAAGGCTATAAAGCATAAAATATCAGGCCAATAATGGGGCTCAAAATGTAAGTGTCAAATAGATAATACCTAGTTTGATCAGTGCATGCTGCATACATGTGTTAAAATATTACACCGTACATATATATACAATTATTAAGTGTTAATAAAGTGAAATAGCAATTGAATGTATTCAAATGAAACAGTGAATTACATTACAGAGTTTGCAGAAAGATAGCAACTAAGTGAGATAGTCCAGTGATCATCTCCTCCACAGGCACTAATTTAAACAGTAATCCATGCACCTATCTATTTGCACAGGCTCCTAGCAGGGTCAGGGAGAGCCTCAATGTTGCTGGTCTATAAAAGAAACACTGAAGGAAGCAAAAAGAGTTGCCTGTGGTGCCCCTCCCTCTCCTCTGTGCAGCACAACTAAAGACACTCCTCCCACTTGGGAAAGAGAATTAGGTTCAGACTTTAGACTTGAAACCCAATGCCAAGCAGGGCCTCATACCCCCTGGCCCCAGGCCTATATCCTCAAACTGAGCATCTAGCCCCTCCCTAGCCCGGTAGCTAAGGGACCACCTGCATCAGCCCCCTCAAACCCTCAGGTAGAAGAGCAGTAAGAGCATCCCACTCACTGAGGTGCAGAGAAGGAAAGTGAGACTAACACTTTTTCTTAGAGCTCAGTGCCTGGGCATTACACTGAGACCTAGTACCTGACAGAGCTCATATGCCCCTATCTCCCCGGCCAACATTTATAGATGGAACCTTGAGACATGCCCAGCACCTGGAAGGGACCTACTCTTTGGTGAAACTGACTTCTAAACTATATGAACACAAGCCAAACACAGAGAAAATGTGAATGCCCACTCACTGCATAGAGCAGAGGACTAGCTCTCCACAATGAATCCCGGGAGTAAGCAGAATCCTTAAGCAATGACTGACTATGGGCCAGTTGCCAGAAAAGAGGGATCAGGGTTCACTGTAGCTCAAGTGGAAGCTTGCAAGGATAGACTACCATTCTTAAGACACTCGGTTTGTTCTCAGCAAAATACCAACCTCAGTTTAGGACAAACCAGGCTTGAGGTGCCCTCTAGTGTTTAAGTAACAGAAATGAGCACAGACTCAAAAAACAGCCTACAATTTCTGGATTGACAAAATCAGATGGTGAATATTTTTTTAAAGGTGTCGAATCCTCCACTGAACACGCTGTTGTACACAAACAAGCACCAAGTACTTTCAGGAACCAGTACTCCACTTATGGAACAAAAATAAGGCTCTAGAAATTGACTACATAATAACCCATGCCTGAGAAGCGTCATACCAAAAAGTTCAAAACAGCTAATTTAGAGAAACTCGATGGACTTCAGGAGGATAGATAAATAATCCAATAGAATAATGGAGTAACTTAGGGTAATTTTTTCAATCAAAGACAAATTCTTTTTTTGATTTTTTTTTTTTTGGTTATTTATGCCCAGGCTGAAAAATCATTCAAAATCTACTGGCTACTGCCTCCTGAGTGTTGGGAGTATAGTACCACACCCAGTCTATCAAGGTTCTTGAGCTGAAATTTATACTACATGAAATTTAATACATGATAGAAAGTGTGGGGGTAGAACAGATTAGACAGGAAACACAATGAGGAAGCTTTAAGACTGGCTACTTGGAAATACATAATCAGGTGAGAAAGAAAACCAAAAGAAATGAAGAAAGCACATGGGAACTCGGAGACAGCATTAGAAGAGCAAATTTTAGTTATGAAGGCAAGAGAAACAAGGATGCCAACGGGGTAGAAAGCTTATTCAAAAAGATAATGAGGGGGTGTCAAAGAGAGAGATGGCTCAATGTGTTTGCTGTTCTTACAGAGGACCCACATGGCTGCTCACAACAATCTGTTAACTCCAGTTCCGGAGGATCCAGTGTCCTCTTCTGGCCTCCTCAACATGGCACACACATGGTGCCCAGATACACATGCAGACAGAACACCCATACACATAAAGTAAAAAATAAATCTTTTCTAAAAAAGAGTCCCAGAGTGGTGCCATGTACCTTTAATCCCGGCACTCAGGAGACAGAGGCAGGCAGATCTCTGCGAGTTCGGAGCTAACCAGGGCAGCACAAAATAAGTCAAGAAGAGAAGGGATTTTCAAGACAAACATACAACTAACCATACAGGAAGGTCAATGCTCACCACTTAGGGTCAACTCAACTGAATCTATCCAAAAGCTTTTTGTAATCCAGCTTCAAAGGCAAATGACAAAAAAGTGCTATCAATGAATGAAGAAAAATAACATTTAAAGGTACACAGTTCACATAAATCAGAGTTCTTGGCAGAAACTAAAGACAAGGAGAATAGACAAAGATTTTCACAGTACCAAACAACAACAACAACAACACAAAAAACATACCAATTCAGGGGCTGGAGAGATCGCTCAGAGGTTAAGAGCACTGGCTGCTCTTCCAGAGGTCCTGAGTTCAATTCCCAGCAATCACATGGTGACTCACAACCATCTATAGTGGG